CAGACTGACCGACCGTCAGTTGTAACATGACCCTTGCCCTTGCCCCTTGCCGAGTTATTCAGTTCATCGATTCAGTTCAGTTCAGTTCATCATCAGCCTACGAGCTAGCCACATCAAGCAACTTCAACCAGCAGGCTTCGTCGCCAGCGCTCGGTCTTCGGAGACATCGGCAGGCTGCGCCGGGCACGACTGCCTCGGCCCTCCAGCACTCTCACACCCGACTCACTGGGGCACCGCGCCTGGACTCGCCGGTGGTCGTGTTACGGTGTGACTCACTGGGCTTCTGGCGTAGCCACTGCCTCATGGCTCCTATGACCGCGCTCAATGACTAGCCTTTTCACAGCCATTCACCGTAACTAGCCTTTCTCCTTACCGGCGCGCACCGCGCTACCTCACCGGTCAAGCATCTCAGCCACCACGGTCCTTTTCAGGGCCAACAAACTGTTCCGAAGAAGTGGGTTGTCATCGGAGTAATGACTAGACTACACACGTTGACAAGAGCCCCACAGTAGATAAGGTTTACATTAGTCATAAAAGAATCTTTAAAACAGTAAAAACATTGACAATTTTAGAATAAAAAATTCAGTCAAAATATTATGTAAAAATCTTGCTTATACATTGAAGCAACTATCTAAAAAACCAGTTTATAATATAAGTATAGTTTAGAATGTTAATATAATTACTGATAAAAGCTGTAACTAAACATTGACAATATAAGATAAATTGAGTATAATTGGTAATAAGAAATGCAAGTAATATGTACAATTTAAAAAGGCTTAATCACATAAAACCTGTTTTGTCAGATAGATTAAGTTTCTTACTAAAAAAAGCTTTAATCCAACTACCATATTGCTTAAATAATTATAGATTATAACCATAAAACATCTCAAAAAAATTCATCCAATGTATAAAAAGAATTAAAATACAAAAATTCCTTTAATTTGCCTTTAAACTTTTTTTTATATCCTTTGAAATTAGCTTAAGGGAGTTAGGAAGTGCATTATAAATCCTTACCGCCATATGATACACCCAATTTCCATATAGCGCCAAATTTACTTGGGTCATGTGTATGTCCATAATGTATCTGGTATTCATTTCATAGTGAGCTTTGTATCAAATATTTCTCTCTTTTTACAATAAACATCATCAAGGAGTATATGTATTGTGATCTTAATGGAAATATATATGTATCTTTAAAATGTTCTCTACATGAATCTCTAAAACCACATCCTTTCATTACTCTTACAGCTCTCTTTTGTAGCTTGAATACTCTTTCAGCATGAGATGAGTTACTCCAGAACATTATACCGTATGACATGACAGAATGGAAATATGAGAATTAAACACTTTTTAATGTTTTCATGGAGACTGTTTTACTTTTCTTATCATATAGCAGGCTTTATTCAATTTCTTTATTATGTCTCGTATATGACCATCCTAAGTTATGTCATTTTGGATTGTCAGGCCAAGAAATTTAGTGTAATTAGCACATGTTATAGTAGCACCAAGTTCTTGCAGTGAAGTTTATGTAGTATGTTTTTTTTATATTAAGAGACATTAAATTCTTTTTAAACCAATCATCCAAAATCCTGCATATTTCATTTATTTTGGTTTTGAATTTTACTGTAGTTGCATGAGAAATTAACACATATAATCTAATTTCATATATCCTTATTACAATAGTTTCATTACACAACACCGATCAAAACTATCAACAGCGACTAACAATAAGGAACAATAATCGTAGTTAACTCTTTCAGCTCTTGTACCACAGCATATTAACCGCCTTGACCGACAACGCCGATATGGTCGGTTGGTAGCGGTTGGCGCGGTAAGTAAGGTTGGGAGCAAGTTGGTCGTGTTCAGTCATGTAGTTCTAGATGCTGTAATGCTATTGGTTAAAATTTTGTGACGCTTCATGACGTCATACGACTTTGTTGCCATCTGTGTAAATAGTCTCTGACCATCTAACGATTGAGAAGCGTATCTGTTTGTTCTTGAAAGTAAACATCAAGGGAAAAGGCCTTGTGTTACTGTGTTTTGTATCTTACTGACTATTCGAAATGTGTGGTGAATGTCTTAATTGATATTTACGAAGTTTTAACTGTGTAAACTATTCTAAGTTGTTAATTTCAGTACTATAGTCCGTGTATGGATTACGTACTGAAATCCCCATGGTCATAAAATGAGTGAAGATAATCAAGAAAGCAGAGGTAATATGGCGGCGTTGTGTTTTTTTCTGGAATTATTCGTGATGTAAACGGAGTATGAGTGTTGTAACGCTGTGTCCTTTGAATCATGGATTCTCGAATACATAATATGCACACTTACGGCTTTTTTCTTGATTTTCGTGATTCAGTTTTCTACGACTTTTTATTAACACTCCATATAATAATAATTTTCAGCCTAAGACTCAAAGCCTCAGGCCTTTCTTGCATGCTCATACTTGGAAGGGTTTCTGCTACCAAACTGGTATCCTTTTCGCATCTGAACCCCCTTTATAGCGTTCATTCCAAGCATGTGCCTTACACGCAACTGTATTTGTGTTATGTGTCAATCACGGTTGGAAACCAGTCATGACAGTTATGGTCAGGTTGGGCGAACTTGATCAGAAATCATTTGAGGCACAATTTTGTTCTAAATAATGTTAGAAAATTCAGTTTATACCTTCAAGAAACATGGTCATATCTATTATAAAGATTGACTGGTTGGTGCAGTTTACGGAAATATATCTGTTTATTTGTAGAATCCTATGAAACACTTAAATATACTCTGTATTTAGGGTACTTTTTAGTTTTACAGTACCGACATATAGTAACCGCTTTGATTTAAAAGGCTAAATAATTTATTTTAGGTATACTTATTGATGGAGATTTGTGGATTTATGAATATTAAAAGTTATTGGAAGATTGAAATCATAGTAGTTGTTTTTAAAGCATATATCGTCCATTTGTCTAAGATTTTATTAATTAAATATTGTAACTGTGGGCACATTTATTAAAAATTGTTACTATTTTTGTTCTTTGTCATGTTGCCTGCACAGTGTAAATATTACCATTGTATCTGATTTAAAATGTGTAAAGTAAACTGCCCTAAACCAGTCTTAACTAACCTTTAAATCTGATATCCTGCTGTTTGATGNATCATACTAATGTTATACTTTTGTAACGTAAAAGTGCTCCATATTTTGTATATGTTATGTTTTTGTTTCAGAGTGTGCATTGTGCCATGCCACACTTTTACACTGTTATCAGTCACTTGTTTGATCTTACATATATTATGGCTCTTTTGTTTGTTGTTCATGCACCCACACTGATAAATTAAAGGCCTTTCAATGGTACTGTTCCTTCCGAACTGTGCTGAAAATGTTTTATTGAGTCTGGCGAATGAATGTTGGTGTGGGCCATTTAAGTGCCCAGTGAGTCGGGTCTTCATCCAAAGTACAGCTTTCACTATGACTTGACTGTATGGACTCTGTACTGTGGAATTATAACCACAGCTTGAGTTACAGTTTGTTCATGGATAAAGCTCAGTTTCATTATAATGGTATGAACAGTGCAAGGAATTCATATTCTTGGTCCCATGACAGTTCACATGAGGCAGGGCAAGGGAACTTTACAACAAACATTTTTAGTATACATGCTGTGGATTAGTGGGACACATTTCACTAAGGGATGTTTTACAGCCGAAGCTTACAAACATTTTCCCAGCTAGTGGCTGTAGTGTTTCTTTCCGAACGAGAAGGAAAATGTTCATGCAACGTGATGGCGTATCTTGACATTTTGGAAGAAGGTTTACAGGGTACTGGAATGAATTGAGGAAGGTGGATTTGATTATGTGGATCACTTGTATGTCCAGTTAGGTTGCCACACTTGATCCAATTGGGACTTTTAATGGGGTTATATGAAGTTTTTAAGCAGCACTATATTGGCAAGCTGGAAACAAGGTAGCAGCTTTGACAAGCGCAGAAACAAAGCCATTGGAGTGTTGAGGGATGTGAAGCCAAGTAGTCTGGTAAATAGGTACCAGCATTTTATAGGAACCTTCTGCCTCCATCTTTGGAGTTCATAACATATGCAAATCATGAAGAAGCTCAAGAAAACATACTGGCATTTGAATAGAGACTTTCAGTTTCAGGAGAGCTGTAATGTGGGCTGGATTACATTGCATAGTGTATATGTATTTGTTGCAGGGGAACAGGAAGTAAATATCTTGGCGGAAATCCTAGACAATTCAGCTGATGTTTTTGAAGATCTAGCTAAGGAAATTGGCTCAGAGGACATTGTTGGCAAGTATAATGGTAGCTGCTTCTAGCCTTTCACGTTTATTCCACTGAGCATGTCCAAAGAGATCCATGTAATTTTAGTGGGAGAGGTGGAAGAAGTGTAAGAGGGATAATTCCTGTATTGGGTCATGTTGTTCTTCACCCTCTGACATATTTTTTATTCTCTGCAAATTTACTTGAGTTTAGAATATGCCAAGATTTCTGTTATGGTCTTCTGGGTTTGGTAAGTGGATACCAACATTATTAAGGAATATACTGCTTCCATCTTCAGAGTTAAGTAAAGATAGAGGCAGTTTGTTCCTTTGAAATTCTCGTACCCACTTGCCAGACCTAATGGTCTCATAATCCAGAAATTTGTGCCTGAAAAAAAAGGTAATAAAATGTTTCAACAGGGGAGAATTTGGTTGATATTGACATCCAAAAACAATGTTTCTCAAGAACAAAGCAGTCTTCTGGGATGTGGCACTGTGTAGATGTGTTAACCGATGTTTCGGAGGAATGTATCGCCTCCATCTTCAGGGAAGAAGGAGAAATAAGAAAATCCGCAAGTGAAGAAACAGCAGGTGCAAGCAGCCTAATGTCGGAAATAAACTCAGCTATATGAGAGCAGGGAAGGAAGGGACAAATCTACATGGGAAATCAGTGGAGAGGGAGAGGGGAAGGGTCTGGGGAGCAGGAGCAAGGTTAGAGCAGGTATAGGATATTGTGTGGGGGGAGAAAGGCAAAGTTAATGGGAGGGCATTAACCTTTAAGCTGGGAGGTTGCTATGGGAGTCGGCCATGGACTGTGTGGCCTTGTGGATCTGGCGTCATGTCCGGGGTTTTCTTGAGGGAACAGATGAGAGACTTCCATGACTTGCTGAGACAAAACCCCCCCTCTCTGTTCATATTGTCGGGATGGAGTTCAATATCGGGTCTTGGTGGCGAGGATGGAGGTATTCTGAAGCTGAACGCGGTGTCCCAAATCGATGCTGTGTTCAGCTACAGCTGACTTGTCCGGATGTTCGATATGGGTGTGCCGCTGATGCTCCTTCAACCTCATGTCCACGGAGCGCCCCGTCTGCCCAATATAGACCTTGCCTCACTGACATGGAATACTGTATACACACAGTATCGTTAGTCCCAGGCTATCTTTGTCCAACTGGAGGAAACTGGATAATTTGTTTGGAAGCAGACCCACTGATTTGATGTTGTGCCGGGACAGCACTCTGCTGATATGGTTGAATATAGTCCTGACATAGGTCCCCCCAGTTTACCTAATTCTTCCAGCCACACCATGGCCCTAAGGTGAACTCAGCCTCTAACAGAAATGAGTACCAGGAAAGTTCATAGAGGATAAAGGGTGACCAGCGCATAAGGCTGACAACCTTACCTCCATCTGTGAGCCAGTTGTCTAGAAGATATGGGAACCTCACCCTCTCACAACCCTATGAGCCTCCACCACCTGTTAAGAGTGATAAATTTACTTTTTTTTTTGTACATAGAATAATAGGATTTATGTTGTTTGATGAAGTGCCAGATTCCCGTTGTTATGTTAAACTATTTTTAGCGCTCGTCTTCAATAGGCTGATTAAGCAACAGAAAATGTACTGGTACTTTATGCAGGAATGTATCACAGTACACACACTAAACAGTTTCAGGAAGACATAAGCCAAAATACTATGGGCTTCATGTAAGCCAGATTTAAAGTTCATATGATTTCTACTGATGGGAACATTGAAATGCAGAATGCACGAGAAGAATTCTTATTCATTGTACGAACTGAAGATCAACTTTTAAAGCAAAATTTATGTTATTTTAAGATGATAACTTTGTTGGGTGCATAGAAGCATCTTCTTTGAATGCAATGCCTGCTCAGAAATTGAGTTTTAGCCATTTGAATATTTTCTTTAGAATGCGGTTAGTTGAATTACATGAGAACATTTCCTTAGTGATGACTCATTTGGTATGAAGGAAGGTGTAAGTTAGCTCTGAAGCACTCAGTTCCATGGCTGACTAGAGATCATGTAGTACAGTATATTGAATTTGACTATGTTTATATTTGGCTACTTGTGTATGTTTTAATAGGGCCCAAGAAAGAGCCATCTGGAGCAGTCAGCAAGCTTACTGATTTTACCAAAAAGAAGGGGAAAACTGGAAAGATCTCGAAGAAAGCAAGTCCAAAAGGGGTAATATAATTGGTTACAGCTTATTACTTCATTGTGATTTCATTGAGTTAATTTTTTCTCATAAATTTTCAGCAAATGATTTTTCCTTTTTTTAGTATTATCTTACAGAACAGTTTATATGAGTATTTGTTAACATAGTAATTGCTTCTGAAGGTTCAAATTGTCCTGCTGTTACCTGATTCTCTGCTTTTTAGACCATAAATCTCAGTACATTTGATTTTTACATAAAGTTTTGTATTATATAGTGATATGTTTCATTTGTTACATTTTTAACCCTTGCCTGTTCCTTGAGACTGCCTCTGTGGTCTAGTGGTCAGAGTTCCTGGCTACAGATCCAGGGGTCCCGGGTTCGATTCCCGGCGTTACCGGGTTTTCTGAGAAATAGTGAGACTGGAACAGAGTCCACTCGGCCTTGCGATGATAATTGAGAAGCTGTTTTAAGTTTGTAGTGGCTCCAGTCTAGAAAACCAAGATTAACAGCTGTGGGAATCTGTTGCTCTGACCACATGACACCCTCTACCTGCTAAAGTTGGCACTAACGTTGCTGACAAGCAGCAGTTGCACAGTCGTATAGTTCACTTGCGGACTGAAAGGCTACAGAGCCTCTTGCTTGAATCTTCATTTCTCTGACTTGTCTTGTGAGTGTGAAAGTGATTATGTAATTATCAGTGTTATTTCTGATTACGGTTAGGCAGAACAGTGAAAGCTGAACCATGGTGTCCCCACTTGTTGGACACAAACATGGGTAAATTGTTCTGAAGCATTGTCATGAGAAATGCATGTTTACAGTTAAACCATTCAGACTATGATTATAACGATCTTGAGACTATTAAGAAATATGCAGTAGTCCATAATTAATGTTTATCATCTGTATGCTGCATTATTGCAGTGTCATGTGCACATTCAGGCTGGCTGGGAATTGCATTTATTGGCATATTTATGCTCTGTATCTCTGACTTTCATAGAGAAAGTCTAAGAAAATCAAGAGTCCACTACGGAAGGTGGGTGGAGCCCGGACAAAGTCTAAATTAAAGGAAATAAAGAAAGTTCGTGGTGGTCCTTCAGATAAAAATAGTGACGAAGTTAACAGCAAGTCTATTGAAGAGGTAAATATGGCACGTTCTCCTGTACGTGTGTTATTTAGAGTGAACAATGCAATATTAAATACATTGCATTTGTATTTTTGGCAGAAAGTTTCTTTGTATGTGGATAAGTACACTCAACTCTCAATTATCCAGGATGTTGGGGATGGAAATCACGATTAATTGAAAACCCGGTTAAGACAAATTTTATTAAAAGTAGTACTGTAACTGTACCTTCATAATACTATAGGCCTACCTGTATTTAAATTTATTCAGTCTCATTTTTATGTCATCTCATGGCCTATTTAATACTTTTTACATTACACTGAAGTATGAAGTAGTTATTCAATCACAGTGTTCAACAACATCCAACACTTTTTATGAATATTCACACTTAACACTTAAAAAAAATGTAATATCGTCGTTTGCTTTTTTGTGGAATTTTCCTTTTTACGGATATCCATACGAAGCCTACGTAATATTAGCTTGTCACTTAATAAACTGTTCTCTTCACTCTCAAGATAATATAGTAAGGATTCCAAAGAACAGCACCATGTTATGTTTTCTTACTAGCAACACTGTCCACCTATTCCTCATTCTCACTTTCTTCCCGCTCTTCTGGCTGCACCCCCACTGAACTCATGATTTCGTCACTGCTTAACATTTCGAAGCCCTGTTCACACGAGTCACAGTGAGACCACTCTCTTATATTTTCCTCGTTGACATCTTCACCACCATGAACTTGGTTAGCCAATTTTGTCAATTCTATGGCTATCTCATTTTCACTGAATCCAGTGAATCCATGGATTTCATCATCTTCATTAGTGATGAGAGGCATCAGTTTCTTCCATGAATTTTTCGATACAGATGGCTTTACTGTATCCCACGCTGTTGAAATCTCGTATATGGCATCTAACATTGAAAAAGACTTCTAGAACACACGTCACATCATTGCCTTCATCGATGTACTTTTGTAGCAAATGTGATCTGTAGATTCTCTTCATACTTGAGATAACTCCTTGATCCATCTTTTGGATAAGTGCGGTAACATTAGGAGGAAAATATTTCACAAAAACATTTCCATCATCTGACCTCAGGAGACTTTCGTTAGGACGTGAGGGCGCATTGTCAATAAGGAGCACAGCTTTCTCAGGTAGGCGTTGGGATTTTAGATGGTCACGAACTTGAGGCACAAATTTTAAATCAAACCATTCTTTAAATATCTCTCTATTCATCCAAGCTCCTTTCTGATTAAAATAATGGATAGGCAGACTTGAAGCTACTGTTCCTTTAAAAGAGCGTGGTCTTTTCGCTTTGCCGATAACTACTGGTGTTAGTGTGTGTTCCTGATGCATTAGAACAGCACAAGGCTGTCAATCTCTCCTTACTGGATTTGTGACCTGGAGCCTGTCTTTCATTTTGAAATTCCGAAGTTCTGGTTGGCAAGCATTTCCAATGAAGACCCGTTTCATCAGCATTATAGATTTGTTCTGGCATCAGATTTTCACTTTTCATGAAACTATCAAAATTGGTGCAAAATTGAACTGATGATGACAAGTCCCCTGACAATTTATCACCTTGTATTCCATGATGCTGCTTGAAACGCGTTAGCCAACCGGAAGAAGCGTCAAAACTTCCTTGTAATTCAAGTGCTTCAGAAAAAAATTTGGCTTGTTTAGCACAAACTGCTCCTGTTATTGTTCCCTGTGCCCTTAGTTGATTAAACCAGATCAGCATTGCTTTGTCGAGATCATATGTTGATTTTTCATGGTTTCTCTTCTTCATTCTGCTTGAATTAGAAGACGAAGCAAAGGAAATTAATTGATTCTTTTGTTTTTTCAAATCACGAACAGTTTGTTCTCCAATACTGTATTGCATTGCTAATTGTTTAACTACACCTCTTTTTCCCCAACTGATTGATAATTTCAAGTTTCTGTTGAATACTTAACACAACACGCTTCCTTTTGTACCCTGACATTTTGCTAACGCACTTGAAGATTGATACAAAGAGACTAACTGGGGCGGTGTATCTGTCCTTGAAACATCCCACAAATCTTTGCATTCTTTCACCCCTACCCTAGAACATTGTGTTAGCATGACAGGACCAAAAAATGCAGAGCTTGGTTCACACTAGTGCGAAAATAGTGTTACAACTCACCATGTGAAACAAAAGTGAATGAATATTAAACAACATATAAGCCTCAAAAAGGCCCCGGTTAAGCCGCAGACCGGTTTATCTGCCCCCGGATACTCGAGAGTTGAGTGTACTAAATTTATGAAGTTCTTTTATAGTGAAATGTGTTAAAATTATCGAAGAACCACACATAGAGGTACTGTTTTCTAATGTTTCAAATGTTATGCAGCACATAGCACTATCACTTGTTTAGATATTTGCAACTATGCACAGGTTAAACATTTTTATTGTTGCTTTGTAATAAGAAAGTTTACTTGTTCACTACATGTTGATTTGTGCATGACACTGCTTATTTTTCAATTGTAGAAACATACCGTAACTGGCACAGAAAGAAAATCTGGATCTGAACTGCAATCAAACGAACCTGGTACAAAACGGGAAGTGAAAGGTAGGACATGATGATGATGTAGATTATTCACTCTTTTCCCCTAAACAGGGATAATAGTTTTAGCAAGAAGAATGTTGAAAGTTTGATTTATTTTGGTTTGATGAGCTAATATTTACAATTCTATAGATCTATTAGAATAAAATTAATGTAAAGCCCTTTTTATCCTGAATTTGAGAAGATTCCCAGATTTTATTTTCATTTGGCTCAAGCCATTGATTCTTGAAGTGCAGCTACCAGTCATTGCCGTAATTTATTCATAGTTAGATGTAATTGGGTTATGATGTGAAGAAGTTTCATTCCAGTCATAATGACTTATTTTCCTTCGTCTCCTGAAGAAACTGAGACCGCTAATACCAGAAACCACTATGGAAACAGTCCTCTGACAATTCCATCTATCTCCCGTTGCCAAAATGTATACTCCAAGAAACTTCCTCTCATTTTCTCCGTGAACTTTGAAGTTGCCATATTCCGAGACATGGTCCCATAAAACTTTGGGACGTATTGCTTGTTGCCTCCCTCCTAGTTATGAACTCAGCTCATAGTTGTCTTCTGCATTTCACTGTCCTAATGGTGGTAGGTGACCTACTTATGAAGTAAAGTATCTAACTGTGTAATATTCTAAATTACTCGCTTTTTCTTCCTTAGGTTCAAATATTTTTCTGAGCACTTTGTTTTTCTAACACTTCTAATTTGTCTTTTGTCATTATTTCACATCCAAACAAAACAAGTTGCAGAATTATTTGTTGTATGTTTAGATTTAGTACTTAGGAAAGCAGGGGACATGCAGTAGCATACTTTGTTGTGGCAGTGTGCTACAAGGCAGAAGGTCATGGGTTCCATTCTTGATGAGGTCATTAGATTTTTCAGTTGACATAATCCCTCCAGATGCACTATGGCCCTGGGTTTGATGTAGCCTCTAACAGAAATGAGTACCAAGAATCTTCGTGGGGTAAAAGGCGGCTGACACATAAGGCTGACCTCACTACCATCTGTGAGCCGATTGTCTAGAAAATGTGAGACCCTTGATGTCTCACAATCCTGTATGCCTCCACGGCCTGTTACAGGGATACTCTACCTTAGGAAAATAGTAACAATTTTTTTAACTGAACAATAACAAGAATTTTCAGAATCTCTTAATTTCAACATGAATGTCATTTCATTTGTTACAGTGTTACTGTTCCCAGGTTCTTAATTTCTGATAAATGTTCGTCAGCCTTTTTTTTTACATGTCTTTTTGTTACTGAATGATTTCAGTATCTAAATTTCTTTTGTATTCTAACTTGTATATTTTTTAAAATCCACAGTTTCCTTTATCATACAGAATTTAAGCTCCTTGCAGAATTCTAAGGAAAGATTAAGTTGGTGTTTGGATGTGATGATGTACAGAACATCATAAGATAAAACTGAATTACATTTTTAAGCTAGAAACTGCAAATGAAACCTAGATTATTAAAAATGACTCAGTTTGTCAGTTTTGATATAAATTGGTCTTTATACATGGAGTTTAGTTTATGCTCCTGTACAGTGAAGTTCATTATTTTCGCATTTCAGTTGTGTAGTGTTAAAAGTAAAAGAAAAATCATATGAACTTTTTGAAAGTGATGGCTTTAAACTGTCTTATCATCGGTGTCTGTAAAATATTTCCTTCCCTTCCTTCAGCGTGCCACGTCTTGATTATCTGGCTGCTGTAAACACAGAACTCTCAAAGCCTGATAGCTACCTGAATGATGCAGCCTTTCATTCCGATTGTGAAGTAGGTCATGTTATGTTACATGTGGATATATAAAGGATTCTCAGTTTCTAACCCCAAGAAATGCAGGAGCAAGACTGGCTCATAAGGGAATTGATAAAAAGACTAAGCTTTGTCCTAACAAAATGAAAAGGGTGAACAGGTTCTCATTGAGCAGTTGTATAAGGTTCTTATCCACTCCTTGAAGGAAAGGAGGACAAAGTGACATGATGCTTTAGACTCTTGATATGAAGCAGGTGTCAGGGGACAGCTTTTGTGCCTACTTCAAAGTGAAATTGTCATCTAATTTAGGAATACCTGGTGATCTGTATACAGTATTTAAACAGTGACTAAAATACTTACCCCCTCATAGGATTTCTTACCATCTTTGGTGAAGCAGGTAATAGAGGTGCCCATTAAATATCACTGTTTGATGAAAATAATCCAAACATTAGAGAGCCCTAAACCACACTGCCTGTTCATGACATACTGTTGACTTTACGCTCTCTGCCTGCACACTGTAGCAGTGAATATTGCAGTATGGTATTACACTGTAATCAAAACGTTTCATGGAAATTTGTATAGCATAAGGCTAAGGCCAGCTTGTGCGGTCAGAAAGAATCTTTGAATTCGCAGCTACAGCTAGAGACATGTATGTTCTCCACGCAAGCAACCAGTTCCGGCAGCAGGAAGTGCTGTATAATGCAACAGTTTAAAATTATGGCATCCAAGAGAAGGTCGCAGAAGTTGTTTCTCCTTGAGAACTGTGCATTTAAATATGTACACCCGCGCGCATAGTAAACTGCGTAAAATAATCAAACTGATATAACCTCTTTATTAACTGTCACAACACAACAAATATCAAGATCAGTGCCTAGTTTCGGCTCTGCTACACGTTTCGGCTATCAATAGCCATCATCAGGCAAATACATGGTTGACATATATGTGGTGTGTTCAAAAAGTATCGAACCTTTGGTAGGCATAAATGCATTTAATGATTTGGAGGTACAAAACCCTAATCCCCTTCAAAGTAGTCTCCTTGGTAATGCACACAGTTCTCCCAGTGCTTCCGCCATTGTTGGAAGCACTTCTGGAACGCGTCTTTTGGAATGGTGATCAACCGGGCCATCGCATTCCGCATGATATCTTCTCTTGACTCAAATCGGGTTCCTTTGAGCTGCATTTTCAGCTTGAGAAATAGCCAAAAGTCACACGGAGCCATGTCGGAGTAGGGAGCCTGACGAACCACAGGGATGTTGTGTTTGACGATGAAAGTCTGAATCAGATGCGCAGAATGGGCGGTTGCGTTATCATGATGGAGCTGCCAAGTTTTTGCTGCCCACAGATCGGTTGTTTGCGCCGCACAGCATCATGAAGGCGACGAAAGACCTCCTGGTAGTATTCCTTTGTGATAGTTTGGCCTTGTGCTGTGTACTCATGATGGACAACCCCATGGGAGTCGAAGAAAACGGCCAACATGACATTGACATTGCTGTTGACCTGCCGTGCTTTTTTTGGCCTCGGGGTTGTCGGATGTTTCCATTGTGACGACTGCATCTTGGTTTCCGGGTCATAAACCCACAACTCATCGCTTGTGATCACGGTGTTCAGAAAGTTGGGGTTACTGTTTGCATCGTCCAGCATGTCCTGTGTGATTTCCAGACGGCATTGCTTCTGCTCCATTATTAACATTTTTGGTACAAATTTCGCGGACACTCTCCTCATGCCCAAATCATCAGTCCAAATTGAATGTACCAATCCAGTGCTTACCCCTATCTCATTCGCAAGTTCTCGGACTGTGATATGACGGTCCTCCATGACCAAAGTCCGCACTTTCTGAATGACATTCTCATTTTGGCTTGTTGAGGGTCTGCCTGAATGTGGTTTGCTGCCCACTGATGTGCGGCCCTCTTTGAAGTGGTTGTACCCTTCCTTTATCCGTGAGTTGCTCATGGCATCATCCCTGAAAGCCTGTTGAATCTTGCGAATGGTTTCCGCTTGGGTATTGCCAAGCTTTTGGCAAAATTTGATGCAATGTCGCTGCTCATGTTGTTCCGTCATTTTACACCTTACTGGAATCCGACGAGCGCTCACTACATGTCCTCACTAATAGGCCGACTGCCAGTGACTGATGCTTTCTGCGGGCTGGAAAAAATTCACGACTGCACATGAATGTCCCCTCCACATCTCCACTGAAGGGAGCCTCCTGCGCTTCATTGGTTTACGCGGGAAAAAAAGAAGGTTCGATACTTTTTGAACACACCACGTATACACCATTGAACTACAGTACTGTTAAAATTGGATACAATACTATTAATCGTATAAAACACTTAATGTAAAAAATAAACTAAATCAGATTATATGAAACAGGAGTTATAGTATAAAACAAGAATACATTTTTAGATTGATGTTTTACATCATTGAATCAGTCATTGGTTTTGTAATTTTGTTGCGTTCCCACAGACACATTGTAATATTGTATATTTTTTCTTATTGTATATAAGATTGTATAGGAGGCTCATGATGTAGATATAGTAAATTAATGTTAATTGTTAAGTCAGTGCCTCATCTTACAAAGTATTGTCTGTACTGTAGGAAATGTAAACCAACGACTTATTCGTTGATATAAAACATCAATCTAAAATTTTATTCCTGTTTTATACTATAACTTCTGTTTTATATAATCTGATTTATGGTATTTTTTATGTCAAGTGTTTTATATGATTAATAGTATTGTATCCAATTTTAATAGTACTGCAGTTCAGGGGTGTATGTATGTTAACCGTGTATTTGCCTGATGGTGGCTGTTGATAGCTGAAACATGTAGCAGAGCCGAAACAAGACACTGATTTTGATATTTGTTGTGTTGTGACGGTTAATAAAGAGGTTATATATTGTAACACAACAGGATGCATGAAATGAAAATTAATTAAACTGATGTTTATTCCTACTGCCTGTGAAATGTTGTCCCATTCCTTATCAACCAGGTCTCTGTTATGATAAGCTTTGTTTCTGTGGTCCCAAAGCACCGGTCTTTCGAAAACTTATGAAATCAGACTTTCAATGTATGTGGGGCAATCCAAAAGTTTCCAAAATTTGAATTTTGCGTGCGAATGGTTATGAGTACACCAAAATATCGCAAGGTGTCTCCTCACACATCCTTCTTGAATCAGTGTGGCAAGCGGCGTCGAGTTGAGTGGTTGGGTTTATTGTTGGTGAATGTATTTCCATTGTTGTGTTTCTGTGAGTTTGCGGTTTTGCGATGGCTGACCTGAGAGAGCAGCGTGTCTGTATAAAGTTTTGTTTCAAACTTGGGAAAACCGCTGCAGAAATGCACCAAATGTTGAAGCAAGCTTTTGGTGAAAACAGTTTAGGCCAGACACAAACTTACAACTGGTATAAGCATTTTAAAAATGGCTGAACATTGACTGATGATGATGACAATTGTTCGCGACATCCGTCAACGGGCAAAACACCAGAAAATGTCGCAAAAGTTAGGGATCTGATCCTGCAAGACCGTAGACTGACCATCCGAGACCTCTGCAACACCTTGGGACTAAGTTATGGTACATGTCAACGAATTTTGTCAGAGGAACTGAACATGAGGAGGATTGCGGCGAAGTTTGTGCCACGACTGCTGCAAAATGAACAGAAGCAGCATCGCTTGGAAGTCTGCAGGGAACTTCAGCAACAGCTTCAAGAGGATCCAAACTTTCTTTTGAAGGTTGTCACTGGTGACGAAAGTTGGGTTTATGGCTACGACCATGAAAGCAAGCAGCAGTCGTCGCAATGGAAGAGCACTTCTTCACCTCGGCCAAAAAAAGCTTGACAAGTCAAGAGCAACATTAAGTCCATGTTGATCTGTTTTTTTTTTTGATATTAACGGGATTGTTCATAAGGAGTTCATCCCTCCTGGTATGACAGTCAATAAAGAGTTCTATCGCGATGTTCTAAGGCGTTTGAGGGAGGATATGAGGAGAAAACGTCCAGAGAAGTGGCGCATGAACGACTGGGTACTCCACCATGACAACGCACGACCGCATACGGCTTACATTGTGCAGGAATTTTTGGCTAAAAGTGAGATGGCAGTTGTTCCCCACCCACCGTACTCACCAGACTTAGCTCCATGAGACTTCATTCTCTTCCCCAAGATGAAAATCAAGTTGAAGGGGCGATGATTTGATACAGTTGAGGAAATTCAAGCGGAAACACAGACGGTACTAAACACCCTAACAAAGAAAGACTTCCAGGATGCATTTGAAAAGTGGCAGAAATGCTGGGATTGGTGTATGCACTCCCAAGGGGACTAATTTGAAGGTGATGGTGCAGAATAAGATCTGGGTAAGATGTAATAGTTTTTATTAATATATTTCGGGAACTTTTGGATTGCACCATGTTTGTTGCCATTGTGAAATACTAGATGCGAATAGAAGCAGCGATCAAATATGAATGGTCACTGCTTCCTGGGCCAGGCGAGTAGAAGCGGCTTCTTGGAAGCAGCCCACTTCACCTCACTCTTACAGAGTTCAAGCACAGAAACAAGCTCGATGCTCCCACACAGGACATGGCCTAAAACATGATTGGAGCTGTGGTGTGTCCAAATTTGCAGTATAACAGGAGCCTAGTATAGTTACTTCGGTCTGAGATATTATGTACCTGGGTCATCCTGCTTCCTGTCTGCAGGGCCCCTGAAACTGGACACGTTTTCTTACAATTCCATTTTTCTCATTTCCTCCTGTGTACTTATATGTTATATGGTAATGATATTTGAATTTCCACATTTGTGTGGTAGGTGAAGACCAACAGTCTGAGCTCCAAATAAGGGAACAAGGTGATTTGGGGGACACACTCAAGGGCTCAAACACAATTCCAGACTCTTGCCAAAAGGATTGTAGTGGGCAGCAGTTTGGAGGCAAAGGTATGTGTTGAACAGAAACTGTTATGATTAGTGAGGCATGTGTCTTGCGACCCAGTTCATTGTTACTGCAGCATGTTTTGAAAATGTGGCACAGTTCAGATATGTGGGAATGACTGTAACAAGTCAAAACCTGATTCAAGAGGAAATTAAGAGGAGATTGAATTCAGGTAATGCTTGCTACCATTCAGTCCAGAATTTTTTGTCTTCTCATCTACTGCCTAAAAACATAAAAATTAGATAATACAAAACTATACTTTTGCCTGTGGTTATATATGGGTTTGAAACTGGTCTCTGACATCAAGGGAGAAACATAGACTGAGGGTGTTTGAGAACATGGTGCTGAGGAGAATATTTGGACTAAAGAGAGATGAAGTGACAGGATGTTGGAGAAAACTGCATAATGAGGAACTTATTAACTTGTGCTCTTCACCAAATATAATTATAATGAAGTCAAGGAGGATGTGATGGGCAGGGCATGCAGCACGAATTGGGAAGAAGAGGAATACATATAGGATATTGGTGGGAAAGCCAGAAGGAAAGAGCCCACTAGGAAGACCAAGACTTAGGTAGGAATATAATAATAAGATTCATCTTAGAGGGATAGTTTGAGGTATGGACTGGATTGATCTGGCTGAGGATAGGGGCCAGTGGAGGGCTCTTGTGAACATGGTAATGAACCTTCAGCTTCCATAAAATTTTGGGAAGCTCTTGAATAGATGCACAACTGGCGGCTTCTCAAGAAGGGCTCAGCTCCATGAAATTGATTATTTTCTCTGCTGTTTTCAGCAGACAGGACTGGTTTCCAGATGACTGTGCGGTATGATCTAAACACATGACCTTCAGTCATCTAAGCACTGGAATTACAGGCTCAAATCTTGGTTAGGATGTGGATGTTTATGTTATGAAGGTAGAGGTGCTGCAGTGGACTGATTCTCCATGTGATAAGCCCTACTTCTTTTTTGAATAGAATACACAATACTTCTGTGTAGGTGGTCAAGGTTCACATCATGCTGTAGCAACATGTCAAAGAACATGGAAAGCTTTAATTGTTACAGTGCATATACAGTGCATATATCTTTTGCTGTCAATCTCTGCCCCCCCCCAAAATCTGTGCTTGACAATAAGAGAAGTGATTCCATTTGGATTTTAAGGTTATCTCGGGTACAAATTACGTTGAAAGTTTGCAGATAGAGTTCAATTAATGTTTCTTTATTTAAGATATTAAATTGCATTTATTGACACACCTCTGGCAAGGTGATTTGAGACAGGATACTACAGTTGCCAGATCCTTTTCTGACATAACTTCAGTTCATAATTCAGGTGTCAGTCAAAATTACTGTTCCCTTCTGAATGTACCAGTTATGAGAAAATGGTTCTTTTCCTAATACAGTTACTAGAGTAAATTTTTTAACACAGAAAAAAAAATTTGATTCCGCTGTCTTTGGTGTTCTTAATTACTAGATAACGTGCATTGTTGGGAAATATGTCATGGGAGAAGTTGGGGTCATCTGGATTCAAACATAGTAGTGATATCTACCACTTGCTTGCTTGCTTGCTTGCTTGCTTGCTCGCTTGCTCGCTCGCTCACTCACTCACTCACTCNTCCTATCCTGAGCCAGATCCATCCAATGCATACCATCCCATACAATCTCTCTTAAGATCCATTTTAATATTGTCCAGCCACCTATGACTTGGTCTTCCCAGTGGTCTCTTTCCTTCTGGCTTTCCCACCAATATCCTATATGCATTCCTAGTTCTTCCCCATTCGTGCTGAATGCCCTACCCACCTCATCCTCCTTAACTTGATCATTCTAATTATACTTGGAGAAGGATACAAGTTATGAAGCTCCTCATTATGCAGTTTTCTCCAACCTCCTGTCACTTCATCTCTCTTTGGTCCAAATATTCTCCTCAACACACTCTTCTCAAACACCCTCAGTAATCTCTATCACAGAAGATATTATTTATTTAATGCACCAGTTTAAAAAGAAAATTGTATGGTAACAAGAATATGGGAGCAGGGTATGTAGGTGAAACAGGTGTGTGTGCAACTGCTTGGATTTCATTTTTGTTTTTATTTAATATCTTAGTATATCTGTTTCTTTTATGATTAACAGTCATTGGTGCAGCTATATAGGAATTTCCTATTCCTCTTCTTTTTGTTCACTTGTTGCACTGTAGTCTTTCTTGCCTTTAGTTGCTGCGTTACACATTTCATTGTAATGTGAGAATACTCTGTAGACATATCCATTGGCTGAGATTATATCTCTAACACTTTTGTGACTCGTTCCTTCTGTCTTTGGAAATAAAAGAAATATGGAATCGCTTTGCTCAGTTGTGCCTATTAACTGCGTTTTTACTTTTGAAAGTACTTGTAAAATTCTTAGCAATTTGGAATCGTAATGAAGTAATCGTTATGACGAATTAAATAATATTTTATGAGCAAAATTTAATTGTTTATTATAGTTATAAAAGTATGAAAGTCACCACCACTTTTTAGTTCTGTCAATTTGCATATGGCAACAAATCGAAGAGGCAAGAGTGGATATTGCTTGCATTCGTGTAAGTGTTTCGTAACTTTCCTTCCTACAGAAAATACATTGTCACCTGGTTCACTGGAAACACTAGCTCCAGGCACAGCTCTGAATAAAGAAGTATCTGAAAGCGAAGACATAGACGGAAGTGAGAACATTCACCTTCGATTGACGGAGGAAAATATTATGGGTGATGAACTCAAAGAAGGTGAAGAGGTAAATGAATATGACACTCGCAGTGAAGTGAGCTCCTCTTCTGACAGTTCTAGTATGAGCAGCATGAATTCATCTAGTTCTGAGTCTGAACATGAGCCAGGTAAGTAAAATTGCTGTCATTATATTTAATATGGTACGTATTCTATGGTAAAATGAAGGTAAAGTTATCCTTGTGCTTCATTAATTAAACATCATACCATGAAGACATATGGGGGAGCGGAGGTATAGCTCCATCATTCTTGGTTTTTCTAACATTTATAGTATTTTGCTGAGCAGTGGGTGGTCAGTGTGCGTTATGTCATGAGGTCATATTAGGGGACTGCTGCTGCAATAAGAAGTGTGCATTTCATTTTTGTGAATGGTTACATGTTTGTTTTTGTTACTTAGTCATTCTGGTTGCCACAGTCCTTTGTGACTGGTCCTGGTTTTAGTCATTTGTAGTTCCCATATTTTTTCACCCTCCTTTGTTAATATTCAAATATGATTTTGAATACAATTTGTTTTCTTCAAAATTATATGGAGTATTGCATAAAAACAACAATATAATGTATATCAATTCTGAGTGGATTGTAGTGTATGAGAGTTGTATTACAGTTGGGAGGGTCTTAATTCTATCTCTTCTGGTCATTGTAGCTGAGTTACTTCTTTATGACTAGGCATTGCCATGTAATTTGCACTTGCAGAAACAAACTCTTCTCAGAAGGACAGAGGATCAGTGAAGCGTAGGCGAGAAGTCTCCAGAGAAAGGAACAGTCCTGTCCACGGTAAGTAATATAATTTCTGTAGGTGTTTTTAATGAATAGGCTATAAATTAGTGTAAAATTGTTCCTTATTTATTTTCTCTGATATTTTTTTGGTTGTTGTACATAAACTTACATGGCATAATTGTATTTATAATTCATGTACCAGTAATGCAAGTGCTGAACTCTGTAGTTGCTACTGCTAAAGTTGTTCCTAGTGTATTATATTTGTATTAATGGTGCATTATTTTTGGTTTTGTATTTAGAAATGTTCTTTTTTATTTTTCTCTCAATTTTTTTTATTTATTTCTATAGTCTTCCTTTCCCCCCCATAGTTTTATTACAAAGCTGCTGAAACATGTGGGTATCTCATCCATATGTGTTTGAATCTTGACCTGTATGGATAAAAGGAAGACCTGAATTATAGCCATGTTAGGTGGGTCCCTTGTCTCCATGGCATGGCATGTTCTCAGGTTAGAAATGGAGGAGAAAGCCTCCAGATATGGAGGGTAGCTGAGAATATGTTGTATAAGAAGTCACATACAGCCAACGAGGGGTGGTCCTCCAGCATGGAGGTTGGATGTGGTGCTAACAACTCCTTACCGTAAAAGATAAGCTCGTTATGAGACGTCACAAAGGGTTTTGGACTTGGATGGCTCCTTTGGATAAATGACCTAAGCTAAGGAAAATGGACATAAGATTTGGTATTTGGAATATAAGAAGTCTGTCATAGGGCAGGTTTGCTCATGACAGTTGGGAAAGAAATATCAAAATATGTTAGATATAATGAGAGTATGGGAGGTCAGATGGGACAGAGATAGCAGAAAACCAGCAGTTGAATATACATTTTTCAATGGAAAGGGGAGTGAGAATCATGAATTAGGTTCAAGTTTCTTTCATACATATGAGAATCATATCAGCTGTTAAAGTGTTAAGAGGGTAGAGTTTGAGAGTTATGGAATGTCTTACATAATACTAATAGATCGCTGGAGTGATATTGCTCTATATCCAATAATTTTTCTATCCAAAATGGCCTAAAACAAGTAGACGCTTTATCACCACTGCTTTTAGGAAGGCCCAGGAAAACCAGGTGGGACTCAGATTAAATGGCACATATCAGCTGGTTGTCTATGCTGATGGTATGAATCTACCAGGAGATAACATAGCTACCGTGGTGAAAAACAGAAACTCTAACTGAAGCTAGTAAGGAGGTTGGTCTAGAAGCAAATGCAGAGAAATCTAAGTATGTGTTGCTGTCTTGTCACCAGAATGCAGGGAAAAATTGTGACATCAATATAGCGAGCAAATGTTTTGAAAATGTGGCACAGTACAGATATTTGGGAATGACTGTAACAAGTTAAAACCTGATTCAGGAGGAAATTTAGAGGAGATTGAATTTAGGTAATGCTTGCTACCATTCAGTCCAGAGTCTTTTGTCTTCCCATGTACTGTCTAAAAACGTAAAAATTAGATTACAAAAAACTATAATTTTGTCTGTGGTTCTGTATTTGTTTGAAACTTGGTCTCTGTCATCAAGGGAGGAACCTAGACTGAGGGTTGTTTGAGAACAGGGTGCCGAGGAGAATGTTTGGACTGAAGAGAGATGAACTGATAAGAGGTTGGAGAAAAGTGCGTAATGAGGAACTTCATAACTTGTGCTCTTTGCCAAGTATAATTATAATGAAGTCAAGGAGGATGAGATGGGTATCGCATGCAGCACAAATAGGGGAGAAGAGGAGTACATATAGGATATTGGTGGGAAAGCCAGAAGGAAAGAGACCACTAGGACAACCAAGATGTGGGTGGGTGGATAATATTAAAATGGATTTTAGGGAGATAGTATGGTGTGGTATTTAGTAGACTGATCTGGCTGAGGATAGGGACCGGTGCAGGGCTCTTTTGAACATGGTAATGAATCTTTGGATTCCTTAAAATGTTGGGAAGTTCTTGGGTAGCTGCACTGTTGGTGGCATCTCAAGAAGGGCTGAGCTCCGTGTGGTTACCTAGTTAGTTCATATATGATCCATGATCCACAGTTTGCAGGTATATAGTGAAATTTGTTTGTAAGTAACATTGTAAGAACCCTAGTTTGTTGAAGATAATGTACATTATTGTGTGCAAAGGATAGAATTGAGATGGCTCTTAGTTACAGATTTTATCATTCGTTTCATGGTGATACCCTCTTTGATTTTATGCCTCAGATATGACTTTCTTTCAAGTAACACCCCCTTTATTTAAGTATGTTAATAATTTTTATGCTGGGGATGAAAGGAATTGATGATGGATAAAAGTATGCTTTTTGTCCTTTAGTAACATAGAGGATACATTCTAAATACCTTTGGCTGGCGGGGGGTGAAGGGGGAGGTGAAGTTGCAGAGGTCATCCCCCAACCCTTTGTTTTTCACATGCTTTGGCTACAGTTAGTTTGCAGTGAAGTTTTTACTGCAGGATCTGCATGGGGAGGTGTTGACTGAGTCTGGAAGTAAGGGACTGAGTATTTTAATGAACTTCCATGTCATCACTGGATAATTGATGTCAGTCTTCAGTTTCTGAAGCACAGTATGTATGTACCAGCAAATCATACAACACTATAAAGGCCATCAGTTGAAGAGATTAATATAAAATATCTGTGTGCAGAAGGTTAATGGGTATGAATTCATATTATACAGGTTAATTCAGACTCAGCAACACAACGACCAAGACAGACACAGCAGGAAGGAGTGTATCAGTTGGTAGAGAATCTCTCCAAGTTTGTTTGGGTAATAGGCATTATGGCATACTTGCAGGTTTGACCACTAGGGCATAGTTGTGATGAAATGTGGCAAGGGAAGGGGATAAGAAAGCGTTCTGTATCTTGGAATTTGCCAATACTGGGTCAGTTGTGATGGTGCCACACAGGTTTCAGACCCAGTACCGCACAGAACCACCTGTGGACATGACAATTCATGAGTGGTACAAGAAATTCCACCCAGAACTGGAAATGAAAATAGTGATCTTGGGGATTCAGCTCCTGCAACATCTGCTGCTGATATCGTTTTGCCAAAGACATTTGCACAGAATGTGCCAGATACTTGACTGAGACATCAGCATTTCCTGGTTCGTGCTGTGTGTTGACTTCTGAGGACTCCTAACAAAAGTTTCTTGCACACGCTTGATAGTCTCAGCAAATGTCTCCAGCTGGCCTGTTCATTGCACAGGCAGCCACTCTGCTGGAATTTCTTGTACCACTCACAAATTGTTCACTCTGTAGGTGGGTCTGTGTGGTACTTGGTCTGAAACCTCCATTGCACTGTCACAGTTGACTTTGTTTTGGCAAATTCTTATCCCCTGTCTTTGCCATGTTTCATCTTCACTGCCCCCTAGCTGTGAAACCTGCAAGTATGCCATGGCACCTATTGCCCAAACAAACTTGGAGCTATTCTGTACCTACTGATTTGCTCCTTTCTGTTGTGTCTATCTTGGTTGTTGCACTGCCGAGTTTAGAAGTTGCAGAGTGGTTTTTGAATTACCTTGTAGACTCTTCAAGGTGACATAGGTTTAAATAATGGTTCATTTTATGTCCCACTATTACTAAATCAGCATCGTCTTGCTGTCTGAATATTACAGGACTTCATCTTTGAATTGTTACCCTCATGAAACCCCAGTTGATGTCTGAAAGACCAAGGGAATCCCCAGAGAACCTCATTCATCATCTATTATTCTGTTTAATCACACCAGAATGTTTACATTTCTACCCATATGAGACCCCTATAAAGCAGTTTTCAGTCAGAGAGGACTCTTAGAGGTGTGTGAACATAGGAATTTGTCAAGTGAGACTTCAGCATTAATATGATTTTAAACTGCTACTTTGTAGATGTGACTTTCATTCATTTCTGTTATTCATATACATCAGGCATGTTCAACTTCAAACAGGTTGTGATCGACTTTTTAGTGTCAAAACTGCTAGTGATCTACCACCCCCCTCCTATTGTCGTACCTCGCTTTAGGCAAAAATATTGGTAAAAATAATACAACACATGATGTCTGTTGTAAAAGCAACATACATTGAAAGTACAGACTTACCTTGTTCATTAAGAACAGAAAAATAGGAATGGCTAATACGTATTTTCCCTTCAAGATCTGAATATAATCATAGTAGGTGGTTCAAATATGACCGGGACTGATTTTTTTGTAAACAAGCCGCACTGCGCAGCAGCTGTGCGACCTTGAGAGATTGTAGCCACAACCTCCACTCTCCCTCCTGTTAGGGTTATAACCTGTTCAGTGTTGTTTGGGAGTTGCTAGAGGGATGAGCGTACAGAAGGTACCGCGGAGCGTGGAACAATGCATTGTGATCAAATTCCTCGGAGAAAACGTCCTGTCCGCTGAAATTCACCACAGACTCCAACAACAGTATGGGGAAGAGTGTCTCTCACGGACCTGTGTGTTTGAGTTGTGTAAGTGCTTCAGAGAGGGCAGAGAGCGCGTGGAGAATGAACCGCATGATCATTGGCCGTGAACATCCATCACCAAGCAAAACATTGATCGTGCAGATGCACTTATTCACTTATTCGTGAGAATAGGCGCATCACTATCAAGGAACTTGGAGCAATGCTGTCCATCAGTGTTGATAGTGTAGAAGACATCGTGAAATACCACCTGCACTATCGCAAGGTGAATGCACGGTGGGTACCACACGCTTTGATGAACGTGAACAAAACGGTGCATATGCAAGCTGCCAGTTGTCTCCTACAGCAGTTTGAAGATGAATGTGATGCATTTTTGAAGTCTATAATGACCACCGATGAAACGTGGGTGCACAACTTCATTCCTGAGTCCCAGCAGTCATCACGCGAGTGGCGGCATACTAGTTCTCCCAAACCCAAGAGAGTGTGGAGGAGCTGTTCAGCAGGAAAGGTGATGGCAATATTCTTCTGGGACTGGCAGGAGGTTATCCATGTAGACTTTCTGACAGATGCCAGAACAGTCACTGCAGCTTATTACACAGACCTCCTGGCAACAGACGTGAAGGAAAAGATCCGATC